GAGAGAGAGAGAGAGAGAGAGAGAGAGAGAGAGAGAGAGAGAGAGAGAAAGTTGGGTGTGGTGACACACACACCTTTAATTCCCAGCACTTGGGAGGCAGAGGCAGACAGATCTCTGTGAGTTCAAGGACAGCCTAGTTCACAGAGTGAATCCCAGGACAGCCAAAGATACACAGAGAAACCCTGTCTCAAAAAAAAGAGAATTAAAAATAAAAATGAAAGAAATAGAGTTTAAAATAAAGGCACGTAAAGATGGAAAATACACAGAGAATATGGTTACTGTATGTTATTGTCTTTAAATTGTTTGATGGTTAAGGAAGAGACAACAGCTGCTAAAAGACACTTGATTATAAATGCTACTGGATTAATCTAACATATACATTTTTGAAAATGCCTTGAATTCAAAAGTTAAGTCAAAAGATATGTTACTTTGGAGAAGAGGTTTTGCTTTTGCTTCCACAAGAAATGAGAGGCTGTGGATTCATTCTGGGCTAAGAAAAATCAGGTTTTATTAAGGAAGACCCCCTGAGGAATCTCCGATAGGAGCAGATGTCCCAGGTGTCTAAGTTCTACATCCAGAACAGCCTCAAGATTGCTGGGTAAGATGATCAAGCCTTACAGAATATTCCAGTCAGGACTTGACAGTAAGATCTAATCTACATGGGAAGTAGAAAAAGACAAGATCTCCTGAGTAAATTTGGAGCATGGGGACCTTGGGGGAGGGCTGAAGGGGGGAGGGTAGAGGCAGGAAGGAGAGAAGAGAAAAATATAGAGCTCAATAAAAATCAATAAAAAAAGGAAAAAAATTTCTTTAGGTCCCTGTAAGATTATGAGCACTCCTAATCAGCAGGAAGTAGCCTGAAAAACTATGCTCACATTTTCAAAAAATGGATTATGAATATTTACCTTTATTTAGAGTGTTGGCTGCAAATTGTTACGGATAATGGTCTAGAAAAAAAAACCCTAAACAAAGAATATTAGAATCAGAGTTCTTGTTTTGAAAAAAAGGGGGGAGAAATTGCTTTGGGACAATGGTCTTGTATTGTTTTAATAAAACGCTGATGGGCCAGTAGACAGGCAGGAAATATAGGTGGAGTAACCAGTCAGAAAGTAGAGGCAGGCGATGACAACAGGAGAATTCTGGGAAGAGGAAAGGTTCAGTTTGCAGTCGCCATCCAGACACAGAAAAGTCAAGATGAGACTGCCTCACTGATAAAAGGTACCAAGCCATGTGGCTAACACAGACATCACAGAATCATGGTTAATGTAGGATGTAAAAGTTAATAAGAAGCCTGAGCTAATGGGCCAACCAGTTTATAATTAATGTAAGCCTGTGTGTGTTTCTTTGGGACTGAATGGCTGCAGGACCAGGCAGGACAGAAACTACTGCCAACACCCAAACAACTAGAAAGCAACCAAAATAGACAGACAAACAGAACCCATAGGAAACAGCAAGCCCATCTGAATAGTAGTCTTAAATGCAAATGCTTCTGTTCACCAAGGGAGTCTTACAAAGTGACTGGCTGGGATGAAAACTAAGGACTAGGAATTCCTTGTCCTTGAGAACTGCCCTGGGTACACTGGCAAAGAGATTCAAACACTCAGAGTCAAAGGCTAAAAACCAACTCCCAAGCAAACGGGAGTCATAAAGAAGCTGCTGTCCATTCACGTCCACAGAGTACATGTCAGACCAAAACTACTTAAGAGAAAAGACCTCTTCATGTCAATACATTTGTCACAAAGATACAATAGCTGTAAATACACACCTAGAAGTAGACTCTCCATTTCATAAAGCTAGCAATAAAAAGCATGAAAGTTCAGGTAGATCCTGGCATAATAGTAACATTGGGTAACTTGTTTTTCTTTTTAAATGTTTTTAATTATAATAAAATTACATTACTTTCCCCCTCTTCCTTTCTTCCCTCCAGCTCTGCCCAGCGACTTGTCTCAAATTCCTACCGTGACATCCCATTCTCAAGGTAACAGCCTCATTTTTTTGGTTTATTGTTACATATATGTACGTCTGTCTATGCAAAAATAGATATAAACACAACCTACTGGCTCTGTTTTTGCTGGTGGTGTGTATACGGTTTCAAGACCGATTACTCTGTATCGTACACTAATATGGGGGCTCATCCCTGGGAGGGTCTAATTCTCCCAGCAGTCAGTAGTTGCCTCTAGTTCTTTGGGAATGGAACCCCTAGAAATTTCTCCCCTTCCCTGTTAACATGTCCATTGATAATGTTCTGGTTCTATTTGTGCAGCCATTTTGAGGAAAGACTGTTGCACAGCAGACTTCCTGGTATTTGACTCTAATATCCTTCTCCCCCCCCACCTTCCATGATGATCTCTGAGCCACAGAAACTAAGACACAAGAAAATCATTAGCAAATATGAGAACGAGAAAATCAATTTCTTTCCTATCAGCAAGAGGAACACCAAAAAATTACACAAACACTGGTATACCAATACATCTCCCGCCCCCCTTTTTGAGACATGGCCTTGGTTTGTAGGCATTATGTAGACCAGGCTGACCTCACACTCACAAGAGATCCATCTGCCTCTGCCTCCCAGGTGCTAGGATTAAAGTCTTGGGCCACCACCCCAGCCACAATATACATGGTCATTTTCAAAAAATGAGAGAGAAAACTTTTTAAACTTCTAAAACCAAACAAAAATAATAGCAACCTCTCAGAGATAAGGCAGTTCTAAGAGGACCTTCCTGAAAAGAGCACCAGTATCTCAGGAAATGACCAACAAAGGACAATAGGACTGTGTAAACATTTCAGCACAACAGTGGCAACGGTCAGCACAGTGGCAGATGTCCTGTGGAGTGGAAGCCATTTTTTCAGTTACACCTCAGACCTGGACCAATATGGAGGATACATAAAGAACTGTGGAAACCAAACAGACGGTAGAAAAGCCCCAATCTTCCCATCAACGAATGGGTTAGTGAACTGAACAGGCATTTCTCTAAAGAAGCAAAAGGGGCCAATAAATAATTCAAAGTATTCAGCACCTTTAGATCTCAGGGAAATGCCTATCAAATGTATCTTGAAGGACTAGAAAGAGGGCATGTAGGGCAAAGATGCTGGCTACCAAGTCTGACAACCTGAGTTTGATTCCTGATCCCCATAAGGTGGAAGGAAAGAATTGAATATCACAAGTTGCATTCTGATCTTCACACATGTACTGTGGCACCTGTACACACACACACACATACACACACACACACACACACACACAAAATACTAAAATGACTTTGATTCTATCTTTCCTAAGTCAGGATGGGTAACATCAATGAAGCCTAAAACAGGCTGTGGATAGAGTTCAAAATTACCTACTGAGCTATGCCCAAACATGAAGACCTAGCTCAATCTCCAGAACCCACATAAAAAAAAAATAAAATTCACATTTTAAAAAGTGTGAATGTAGTGGTAGTGCAAGGTTGCAATTTCAGTGGTTGGGGGGTAGAGACAGGCAGACACCTGGGGCTCAGTGGCCGGTCAGCTTACCTGAAGTTGACCTCTGCCTTCAACATGAAACTGCATGCATGTTTAAAATCACATGTGCGCGCACACGTACACACACACACACACACACACACACACACAAACACAAATAAGTAAGTAAATATTAGCTAATAAATTGAGTAGTGAAGACAATATGATGCGTACTGGATGTCTGTCTGTCTGTTTATCCACTCATCAGCCGCACTTATCTGTTCTTCTGTTCATGTTGCTATGGGTGCTTCTGGTTTGGTTTGGTTTGTTTATTTTGACACTTTCTTTTTCCCCCCTCTTTCTTGGAAAGATATAACATTCTTTTAGTGATTTATTGATGTAAATTTTACACTATGCTTAATTTTTCCATCAGTAATTTTTAAAAATTTGTTCCCCTTTTATTAAATAAAAATAGATAATTTCAGTTTCCCTTCCCTTTACTCCTTCCAGTTACCCACACCTCCTTCCCATCCGGATCCACTCCCTTTTATGTCTCTCATTAAAGAAGAACACGCTTCTAAGAGATAATAGCCAAACATGACAAAATAAAATCTAACATTTATTTATTAATCTAGATTAAGCAAAATCATCACATCAGAGTTGTACAAGAAAAACCAAGAAATCAGAGACTCACTTGTTCACACACTCAAAAATCCAATAAAAACACTAAGTTGAAAGCTATAATACATCCACAGAGGACCTGGCACAGGCCACAGCATCGTGTGTGGAGGTTAGAAGGCAATTCGCGGAACCAGTTCTCTCCTGCCATGTGGATCCTGCAGACTGAACTTGGGCTGTCAGGTTTGGCAGAATGCAGTTTACCTGCTGAGCTGTCTTGCTGGCCCTAGTGGTTTTCATCTTGAAACCCTTGATTTTACCGAAGTTGTACACAGAAGTTACTCCTGGCAGGATGCTAAGGAAAGAACGGGACCCCTGAAATCACTACGTGCAGAAATAGATGGAGGCAATGTCTCATCCTTCAAACTTCTTCTACTTAGAGTCTGAACAGAAAACTCTTCAGCCTAATAGGAACACTCTTTCTGCACGGGCACAGCTGCCTGGCTCAGCTTCAGACCACAGCTCTCCACCCAGAGCCACCTGGGCGTGCCGCGAGGCTCCAAGTGCTCCAAGGGTTTCCTGATTTTTCACACATGTTCATTTGTTAACTACTTGAGAAAACTCAGTTTTAAAAACCGAGTTCGTAAGTGGTCCTGCACCACACCCAGGAAAAAGCTAACCATTACCTTCCCTGGTAGCCTACGCCTCCTTCCACAAACATCTCTAAAGTCACAGATGTCTGTGATTTTTAAACCACTCCAAGCTAATGCCTATGAGCCTTTCATGAGCGAGATCTTTACCACTGTCTCGGTGTTCTTTCCTTTTTCTCTCTCTCTTTCTTTCTCTCTCTCTCTCTCTTTCTTTCTTCTTTCTTTCTTTCTTTCTTTCTTTCTTTCTTTCTTTCTTTCTTGAATTCAAGGCGGGGGTGGGGGTATCACAGGTTGGTACTGAACTTGCCACGTAGTTGAGGACAATCTTGAAGTTCTGATCCTCATGGCTCCCTCTACTAGGTGTCTGTTTCTTTAACACCCAACATTGCCCAAGACACGAAAAATAACTGAGGACGTCTTTGAGACTTTCTATTTGGGGAGTAAATGGAATATTGATGACTTTAACCAAGAAAGGAAATGAAAAATAGGAAAAGATTATAGTATAAAATATAATTTGTTCCACTTGAAAACATTCAAATTTAAAACTCACAGTTAGAAAAGAAAACATAAAATTGGAAACCTCAGACAAGAAGAACTGGCCAAAGGGCTTAGAACTGAAGATAAGACATTGGGGATCCATCCCATCCATGGATAGGGTTGAGAACCAGGGATATGTAGGGGACACAATGAGAAACAGGGAAAGGAGAGGGAAAGAACCCTAGAGTTCATTTGACACGTAGTCTAGAGCTTGAGAATGCCTGAAGAAACCAGAGAGAGAATGGCAGGGAAGAGCCTAGAGGCCTCAGATGCCAAAGGCATGGGAAATTTAGAAGAAAAGATATCGACCTGGTTAAGGTGTCATGATGATCACAAGGAACAAAAATAAAACAGACATGATAGACCATTAGAACTACCAGGGTGGGGAGTTGAGGGGAAAGTGGGACCTCACTGACAGCAGTATCTGTGGAGATAAAAGACAGGTGAAACAGCTTGCCATTGGGGCAAATGGGGCTATTTCCGTCAGACTCAGTAGAGAGACTTGCACTGGGCAGGAAGCCTTTTGTGGCTGCCCAGACAGGCGGTGGAGGGGAAGACAGATGGGCAGTGGGCTGAAGATGTGTTCACAAGTAAGCAAAGGCAGAGAGAGCCTGTGCTTCCTGAAACTAGGAAAGCTTCTACCCATCCCTAGTAGTGGTGACATTCGTCCGTCCCTCCACCCTTCCTGTTCTCATGGAAGGAAGACAAAGTAAACTCTTGAAAGGGCAATCTCTGCTTTCATTTTCCCTTGAGAATTAATGAGTTATCCAGTTGGCTCACCGGGAGAAGGAACAGAGTGTCCATTTTTTCCCTAAACTCCTTGGTGTACAGGCTAGATCCACTGCTCTCTTATGCCTTGCACAGGCTGTCTAGACACAGGACTGGGGCCAAGCTGTTCCATGGGTGGCTGAGGAGTCCTCTGCTTCAGAGGGGATTTGGTCCACATGCGCCACATTCTCCAGTTCCGTCACATTAGTAAGAAATCTCAACATGTACACAAAATTCATCTGACTCTTGTATTTACCTTACTAGATGTGAACTCATGGGAGAAGCGGTGCTGAATGATTATTACTTAAAATCACTTTTGATGGAGGTTAATATGTTTAGAAAGAGATAAGGAGCCCAGGACCTCCAGATTTTGTTTGAGAGATGAAGGGGCAACAGTAGCTAGTCTCTCCATCTCTGCTTGCTTGGTGCATATGTGCATACCGAAAAGGGGAAGGGCCAGGGCTCGCACTCACCTCAGAGGCAAAGGGAGCAGAGGATCCAGAAAGCACTCCATATACCGAGAGACCACAGGTTAAACAAGAGCATTCTCTGATGAGAAATGAAGATCGCCATACGGAAACAAGAGCACATGTACTTACATACACACAGTACACACTGATCAACAAAAGGCAGCAGAGAAACCAAGCTCAAATGTAGTTCTTCGCAGGTCCACTAGACCTTTGCCCCTTAGAGAAGTCCCAACTCCCACTGGGGTATGTGGTTTTGTTCCTTGACTCTTAATATTCCCAGAAAACAAGACAATTGCCATGAAATGCTTAAAAACACACGCTAAAAAAACTGGACTGGTTCAAAGAACAAAGCATAGATTTTTAACAAAGCTGACAGTGGCCTATAATTCAGACATCTCTTCTCTTGGAAGCACTAAAGCCTTTTCAAATCTAGCAACCCACGCGCCTTGGGGTCTGGGTGCAGAGTCCCTGGCACAGAGAGAGCAGCAGAGGGGAGTCGTGAAACCCATGGCTCAAGGACGAATGGCCTCACTGACGTCATCATTGAGTGCCCTGGGGACCAATGGGAGGTAGACAGATGTGAGGGGCTGTGGTGGAAAAAGCAAGCAGAGATCTCATCCATTCCTGCCCTGAATTCTTCCACAGGAAAACTAGACCCACCTGCCTTTTGAGACACACAGGCCTCCCTGAGCTCTCCAAGGGGTTAAAGGGAGATGTGCGCTGTGCAGGGCATCCGTTGCTATGTGTTCCGTTGTGGCAACCATGATTCACCATGATTCACAAGGGCATAGCTGATCCACTACTGCCTTCAGCAATAATCCCGCTGGAACCTCTCTCTGCCGCTGGAGGGATAATTACCAAAAGATCCCCGAGGCCAGTTCTTACAGTTTTGACATGAAAATCACCTCTTGCATAAGACATGAAATTTAAAATCAGTCCTTCATGGATACCATTGAGTCACTGTGTTACCTCTGGGACAGATATAAATTATGCATTCTTTGATTCTCTTTAAATTTTTAGAGGCACACTGGGACAAGAGAAGGTTCTCACTGGCACTAAAAATATGAGACATTCCAGAAAGAAATAATAACTCGTGTGATATTAACTGCTTCTCTTGTTACAGGAGCTCCTGCTTGGTCAAGACCGTAACATAAAACACAGCAAACAGCAGACTTGCATGCTAATGACTGCTGGTGACAAGGACTCCTTGAATGTCACTGCTCAGTGTCCTCCTGCTGCCCATTCTTCTCACAAGAGTGGCTTCCTTCAGAGGGCTGATATTCCCCTAAGAACGAGCTCCCTTCCTGGTATCGGTAACCCCCAAAGTCTCAACAACGTCTACGCTACACTCCTTATGCCTTCCTTTGCACTACCCCACACCTCCAATCCAAGAGAATTATGCAAACAAGGCAGTGGCGTTTTATAAATCCTCAGGAGCAAGTTTGATTTTTTACCCCTCGATTCCAAACCCCACTGTAACGAATGTATTCGTTTTCAGAGCAGGATGTCACTGTCCGAATTAGCGTGAAGAAAATGTAATGGCTCTGCCTGCAAGACTGAAAAACACCGAGTGTGTGTTCTACTGCCGCGATGACCCAATCCACACCAACATCTGTTCCGTAGAGATGAACTCCTCCAGATGTGAACTGGCAGGCCAGCCCCGCAGGGCTGCTACCCAGGCTTGCGCAGAGGGATATGGATGCTTACCTCTGTGTCCACATTCAAGAAAAATTTGGCTGTCCTCCCAGTGATTATTCCAGTACGGAAGGAACCCTTTAATATTCACACTAGTGGCATAGGCGTATTGTGTGTCTCAGATGCCGGGGAGCTTCAGAACAAATCAAAGTAACGATGATAGAAGAAGAACATCCAATGACTCTGGTCCTGACAAGGACGGTAACGCCTCTGCCTGGCCTGCACAGCTGTTGCTTCAAGGCTGAGGAGTTCCCAGACTCGGGGTAAATGCGAGACGGACTTCAGAATTCAGCTCCGAAGGGTTCCTGAGGCAGAACTCATTGTGCAATGTTAATTTTTCAAGTTAAAAGTTATGGCCATTTGAAAATGACTATCCTTCCAAACAGGAAAGAAAACCAGTGTTCAGATTCTAAAAATGTGTGCCTCAGTCACGGGAACACATGCCAGTTCCGTACAAAATGCCTTGAAGCCCTTGACCTAATGAGGTTACTGACAAGGATATGAATGGCCAGAACAGAAAATGAAACTTGCTGAGAATTTTCTTCATGAACAACCATATTTCTCCTGTCATTTAACCAATTTTCATCCTCAAAATTACAACGTGGACGGCAAATCTTCAAGGCTAATGCTCCATATGACAGACTAAGTGCTATTTAGGAAGTAATAATATATGTGCCAAACTGCTTTGGGGGAAACATGAGACCACGTGACGGACGCTTCAGGTAGGCAGAGGTCATGGGAGGTTCTAAAAATGACACTCAGGAAAGTGAACTGCCAAACAGCATTCCACATCCAATTAGTGGAAGTGCATCACTGTCGGCGGGCTCCACCGACGGAAGAGTCCTTCTGGCCTGAGGCTTCCCAGCACACACTCGGTTAACTGACCTCCAGTGCATGCTGCTAGCATTCCATGAAAATCGATGCTGTTGGTTCAAATCCAGGCTTAGAGGGTGGTAGCTGGGAGCTGGGAGGGCTGCTTGTGTGCATCCCATGTACCAGGAGGAATGTTCGGAATTCCGAAACTGCCAGGGTGATTAAAGCATGTGCTTTCATTTTCCATGTTGATTCCTATCTGAGCATTGTGTTCCTTAAACACCTGTCCAGCCTGAGGGATTGGCAAAGTGAACCCCTTGGTGTCTCGCCACTATACTTATCATAGCGTGTCCTGGTGGACACTCACACAGGTTGGATTCAGGGCAGGGACACTGGGTGAGGATTGGGAAATTTAGCCTGGCATCTGCAGGGACACACCAAAGGACCCTTTGCCTGCACCTCCGACCATCCCAGAAACTATGTATCAGAGGACATGACAGGGAACCATGACATGTACCCGTGAGAGAGGTGTGTTTGGTTTCCTTCCCTTGTGGAAATTTCTCCACAGTGGGGCACAATCAAGCCTAGACTGAGAGCCCGGACACTACCAGAGGGTAAAAGGTAGAAGGACTCAGCCAGCTTGGTGAGAGGTAGGAGATGGGGCGAGGAGAACAGCCAGGGACATGACAACGGGTCCTGGAGAGTTGACCGCAGGAAGAGACCAAGTGTCAGTGTATTATAGGGACTGTTGTTCAAAACTGCTTATTGGACTAACATTCACATAGCCTAAATGTTAGAACAGCCACCATTTGAAAGCAGACCGGGCTCTAAGAGGAAACACACATGTGTTGAGAATGGAGTGAATCACTTCTTCTTTTAACATTTAATGTCGCTGCCACAGAGGCACCATGAAGATGCCCTGGAGGAGATTAAGCTTGTACAGGATCTCCGAGGACTGAGCAGGGAGACTGGTCCCATCTCCTGCCTCTTATGTCTGAGCTGTCCTTGGGAAAGGAAGCAGGCACCACCTGCTTTACCCACTAGAGCTGAGAAGCTGGCCAAAAGAACACGATTTTCGGAAAAGCAGACATGGAAATGTGAGGACGCTATCCTGTCACTGTCTGTGGTCCTCCTGCTAGGCTGTGGGGACAGGAGAGCTATGTACCCATGGGAGCATTATAAGGTAACCTAAAGACTTCCTTAGCGTATTCCCCGCACCCCCTCCCTCCACTTAAAATCTGTTTTATTAATGGACCCTAAGATGTGGCCCTGCCTCCCGTGACCTGTTTGAGAGGAACACTCTTCTAGAGAACATCACGATACAGGGCGCTCTTATGTGGTGGTTATTAAGAATACACTTCGTGTCTCAGTGGCTCGGAGCAGCAGGATGAGGTCAGCCACCAGATGAATGTCACGCAGATGCCTTGCTAATTTAGAAAATGTCCAGATGTGGTTCTCCTCACGCGACAGAATCCCTGCTTTGGTCAGATGAAACTTTGCTACGGTTTCCCTTTGTCAAGTCATCCCACGAGGGCAGCCAAGACCCTGACAGGGGAGGGAGGTGTCCCCACTGGCTGAGGGGGCAAGTGTCTTGGCAGAAGGGCCCTGAAAACGGCTGCCAGGGAGGTATTATATTTTTTAAGTAATAGCTTTAAATCAACAGAATTAAACAACAACAAAACCCTAAGGAATAATTAGAGTTCACATTCTTTTCAAGTGAACTGAGTTAGTCTAAAAGACACATTGTGACAAAAAAAATAATCTAATGAAAATGTTTTCCCCAACAAAACACAATACTTAGGAAGGTTAAGAATGGAGAAAATGGGATTTATAAAAAGCAGGAGTAATTGTTTAAGAAGCTCAACTCCAACCTCATCTCTGTACTGCTGAGATGGGTGTGGCTTTAGCTGGGACTTCAGTCACAGGGCAGTGAACACCACTGCAGGCAGGAGGGCAGAATGGTGGCTGGAATGAGAATGACTTGGGGTCACATGACCTTTCCCACATGACCTAAGACCATTGGAAAACATAGACATTTACATTATGATTCAGAACAGTAATGAACTTACAGTAAGGAAGTAGCAACGAAAATAATTTTATGGTTGGGGGTCACCACAACATGAGGAGCTGTGTTAAAAGGTTGCAGCATTCAGGAGGTTGAGAACCACTACCATAGGCTCATGTGTGGATACTTGGTGGAACTGTTTGGGAAGAGTTAGGACATGTAACTTTGTTGGAGGATTTCTGTCACTGGGGACAGACTTTGAGGTTTCAAATGACTGGTGCCCTTTGCAGTGTGCCTCTGTCTCCCACTTACAGATGAAGATGTGGGCTCCCCTCTGTTCCTGCTGCCATACCTTGCTTCGCCACCCGGGCCTATAACTCTCTGAAACCATAGCCCTATCAAACACGTCCCTTTGCAAGCTCCCTTAGTCACAGCATTTGTGGCAGTAATGAAAACCCCACCCTCTCCTCTTGAGATCCAATTTGCTTGTCAGCTGGCTTTCTGCTCTCTCTAGGACACCTCCCACACCTCACAACGATCAGAGCGTCTCTAGAGTATTGCCTTGTATAATTCTGTACTTTTGTTTGACACATGCCACACTCGAAATTGCCTTTCCAGTGCCCCAGGAGCTCCCAAAAACTATATGGCTGTATTGTACCCTCAAACTGTGTGTCTGAATAAACCCTTCCTTCAGTCATTTTGTTGGGTGTCTAGTCACAGCCTTGAGAAAGGTTCCCCATACACGTGTCTAGTTCAAATTGGGATGTGCTCTTGCGTAGAAGTCACTTGGAATTTGGAAGAGTTAGTAGGCATTGCTCCACAAAGGATACAGTCTGCTGGCACATTGAATTAGCACTGGAACCAACATGAGCCTTCTGCCTCCAGCGTCATAAAAATAAAAATAAAAAAATAAAACTAAACATATTTAGGTTGATTTAAGTTACTTGTTTGCAGAAACTTTAACAGCAACATTAAACGAATATGTTTGGCTACCAGAAAATGTAAGTATCACACGTGAAGCACATAGTGTTTTTACTGTCCAACTCTGAGTTAGATTATAGTCTTCTTGACAGCAAGGATGTAGTTACACTGTTCACTTCCTGTGCCCTGCCCCCTCACCCCACAGCCCCTGGCATGGCTTGTGGTCAGTCTAAAACTGTCTGGATGGATAAAGCAATTGAAATCAAGACGGGTCTCTTTGGAATTTTTAGTCCATTTATTATTCCAGTAAAAACTTATTAAGCACTTACTCTGGCGAGGTATGTTGAGAACCGCCAAAGACATAGATGTTGAAACAAGCGATGTTTGCCAGAGGCTGGGGAGGAAGGGAGCGCAGACAACAGCTGGTAAGCAAGGATTAAGTTTCCTTCTGGGGATCCAAGAATATTTGGGAAGAAGAGACGGGCGGTGACTGTACAACACTGTCGAGCGCTGGATGTCACGGAACCACTCACTTTCAATCGGTCATTTCTATGTGACATGATTTTCAACCTGATAAAAAGCAGTAATGAAACAAAGAAGGAGATGGCATGCTCCCTTGTCCCAGGCCTCGAAGAGCTCAGTACAGAAATAGATGAATTCAAGTAAGAAGATGTCATGACCTATGAGGAACCTTAAACCACAGAACGGTGTCTGGGCCACAGCTGCTCATGAAGCAGGCCAAGAGCCAGACAGAGAATGTGCACAGGTAACGAAATGAGTGTCCAGAAGAACCTCAAAGGATGAAATGGCAGCAAAATGGCTTTGTAGAGGGTTGTCAACCTGTCCAAAGTAAGTAGGGTTTGTTTTTGTTTTGTTTTATTTTTTTTTTATTTTTTGCTTTAACCACACAACTCATGCAAGGAATATTCTAGACTCAAAACTCATCTATATTACCACTGGTTGACTTCATTCTCTGTTAGTTGACATCTGCCTGTCCCTTGTCCATACCCTATTTAAACAGTTCTTACAAAGCCAAGCCTGAATCCGTGAAGTCACCCCACTGCAATTCTCCAAGCACAGTCACAGAACTCATGGAAAAAAGAAGATTAAGGCCTGAACATCTCAGCCAAACTTACCTTAACTGAGAGAAGACTACAACTTAACACATATTCAACAGGCAACCACGGAAAAACATTCCAGATGACTCTGTACTAGGGCTTGATCTCAGAGCCTTGCACACACGACATGTGTGCTCTGCCCCTGAGCAGCTGCATCACCAGCAATGCAATTCTTCAGCATTGTGAGTAGCATACCAAAGAGTGACCACACAGTCACATGATCACAATGGCCAAATGCCACCTTCTTAGAAAGAAGCCCTGTTGTAAGTGCCATCCAAGAGGTATAACCCAGTTCGTTACCTTGTTCCCCTGCTTTCTGGTTTCTGCCCACACGTGCCTTCTTCCTGATCTGTGTATTTTTTTCTGGTTACCTCTCTCTCTGCAGGAGTGCATATAGCACGTCCTGGCCACAGCTTTATCTGAAATAGCGACAGGTATCATGCTTTAGTAGGCACCTTTGTTAAGTTAGGGATGCGCAAGAAATTCAAGTATCATATCTGGCTTCATTTGGGCTCCCATTTCCTCCTCCTCCTTGCGTTGGGTCCAAAGTTTTCCAGATTCCACGGGGTTAAGTAAGCACACTAGACAGAGACTACGATAGGAAATAGGAATTCAAGTTCCACTGTTTTATTCCTAGTCTAGCTGAAGTTATAAAGGAGGAATGGCGGCTTAACAGATTATAAAAATTTCTATCTCTAAGAGAAACAATGGGCATTAAGAGCAAATTATCTGAACCCAGAGATGCCCGATGGAGACAATTTTGTACTTTGCTGGAGACATTGCAACGATTCATGCATCAGAAAGCCACCCTATTTTCTGACTTTTAATACCCCCTTCCAATGTTTCCAGACCTTAACTCCTATGACCATGCTAATGCGACACACTGACACTAACAAACGCACACCAGTATTCTCAGATGCAAACCAAGATGCAGTCTCCAGCACCCAGTAGATGCATTTCCACCGCTTTCACAACAGAACCAATGTCTTCCTGCTGGCCTTCACCACTGGGGCCTACATTTCTGTCTCCTGAAGAGAACAGAAGGAATTAGCGGTGGATGAAAAGGGGGCTGGGCTGGGCAGACACCATGGTACATTGAGCTCCACAGAGAGCGTGCTGGGGCGAGCATGAGCTGAAAGGGCACTAGGTAGGCGACTCTGTGCC